CTCTCTTACATACACAAGAGAAAGAAATAAAGGAAGAAAGGAAGAAAGGAAGAAAGGAAGAAAGGAAGAAAGGAAGAAAGAAACAGCCCTTTTTGAAATGTCTCATGGTACTAAGATTATTCCTGGGGTTTGAGGAGTGCTGATTTTTCTCCATTTCTGGAATGATGAGTACTGTGCAAGATCCAAACCCTACAAGGCATTCAGTGGCCCCTCAGACAGCCTTCCTGAGCATGTTATCTCATGCCTTTGTGAGTGTATCCACTAAGGATGCTGCAATGACCTCTCTTGGCAAACCATCCATGTGTCAAATTACAGGCATGTCTTTTTTCACAAGCTGCTCTTTACATAGTGTCTGCCAGGAGACCCAAAAGAGAAATCGGCTCAAAAAGCTTTGTTGCTAATTGTCTGAAAGTTAAAGTCAGAATGTTACCTATCTGGAAAAAAAATCCTCTACTCACTTTTTTAGTGTTAATATATCATCAGTATAACAGTTCAGCCAGAAAATTTGTCAAAGAGCCAGACCAGATTAAACATAAAATATTTGATCTCTGAGTACTCAAATCTCCTGCTCCTCTAAAGAATAGCACTTAGTTAGAGTCATCTTAAGTGCATTAGCCTCCCTTGACAACAATTGTATAAATCCCATCACAAAATTAGGATACAATCCTATGATGCTTACACAAACTGAAAGCTCATGCCAATATTTACTTCTCTGACTTCTCTGCTGTTTATCCTGGGCAGAAGACGTATTTCAGCTATCTGAATGTGAACTCCAGGCTTTCTCAAAGTGTTCCTTTCAGCATCCCCACCCTGACCTGAAGGAAGTACTCGTACTATCTTTAGGACGCAGTACAAGTCATGATAGTGGTGCAACATGCAGCTCCACCTACCTGTGACTGGACAGGTAGATAAGGAATCTAGCCCATGCTCCCATCTGAATAAAGAAAAGCTCCCTAATAGGAAGGATAATGAAGCACTGGAACAGGTTGCCTCAGGCACTGGTGGAGTCTCCATCTAGTCTTTAAAACTGGTTAGACAAGCATTTGTCAGGAGCAATATATGTGCAGTTCATTTTGCCTTCCAACCCCATTTTTCTAGATTCAGAATCAAGTTCTGACCCTGAACAACTATAATGAGCATTTTGTCTGTTCCCTGTGTCCTAGGAAGCTAACAAGACTGTACAGCCCTTATCTACTATTGTCCTGCTACTGGAGTCATTGGTCTTGATGGGCATATGGATCATCAAATCCGAAGGCAAACAGCAGCTTCCAGACTTTTATAACTCGCATTATTTTTAGGCCGTTGCACAGTCCTCATGATTGATCTGCGTGCAGTGCAGTGTCTTTGCTGTAAACCCTGAGGGAGGGCAGAGAAGGGGTTCATGAAGACGTAATTTCCAAGGGTGATAAGCTTGCATCTGTTTTGAGCTGTAAAATGGCACTCGTTGTGAAATCCTCTCAGAGCATACCTTTTAAATGCCAAGCAAGCACAAGACCAAAAGCACATAAAGAAATAATTGAAAGGCTCTGGAGGGAAGCCAAGAGGACGTGGCTGATGTTTCACCTAACCTCACCCCCTCGCTCGCTCTCACCCGGCAGCCCTGCCTATATGACGTGAGCCTCGGAGCTGCAGCAGGCAGCTGCTGCTTGACTGTGCACACTGTCTGAGCCACTGGCAGCAGGACAAGAAAAACAAAGAGGCTAAAAACATAAAACAGAGAGAGATTAGGAACTGTGTGGCTGGGAGTACTCTCCTTTCGCAAGGGTGCCTGAGCCAGGCCCAGAAGGCCCAGCTTGGACCTCTGCCAGCCGTGCACCACAGCTCCTGCTCCAGCAGGTCCCCTTGTCCTGGCAGGGGAGGCCCAGCTTGGAGGTATCTGCAGTGCCTCCTGGCCCCATGTTTGGTGGTTCAGTCCTGTCAGGCTAGAGTTAACAGGAAGAACTTGCCATCGGATTTGCCAGGCTTTTTCCTTTTGCATAAACCACTTTGATTCCCCAGCCTCCAGCTGCTTGGCCTTTAGATGCACACAGTCATTTACCTCCTCTTCGCACCCCCCACATACCTTTCCTTTGCACAGGACACTTTGTTCTTCAATAATCTGTATTAAAACTAATTACCCCATGTTCTTTTAATGACTTGCAGTTGTGTGCTTACTGTGTAAGTTATTACCACGAACAAAGGATGACAAGGACACAAGAACTGCAGAGCCTGACCTGTCAGTGCTGCTAGCATGCTGTTTCCATGTAATCTGGAGAGGTCACATGAAAAACCAAGCTGACAAACCTGACATACTATGAGAAACTGAGCAATCCTGTATACAGAAATTTGGGCTCAGTGGAGGTGAACAGTGTTAATTATTGATTGATCATATTCAGTTCAGGTAAAGTTTTTAGGACTGACCTTTTATTTGGCCTTAGAATACAAACTGTGCTAATGGGACAGTGAAGCCACAAAGCTTTACAATGGATTTGGAAATATTCTTCTTGTTAACATCAGCCTAAGTGACAAAAGTATTCCAGATCCTAAATGAAAAGACACAAGTCATAATTTTTTACTAGGTGCTGTCCAAAAGCCTGGAGTTCCAGTCATAAATCAGCAGAACCATGGTCTCCTGACACAAGCAGTAGCAGAGCCGCAAAGCTGTTGCTGAATGGCAGTGAAACAGAAGCAAATATGAGGGACTGGGAGGGGGCTGAAAGCAAGTGTGATTCTCCTTGCTAAGAATGTGAGAGCCAACAAGGAAGAAAAGACCTAAAAATGAATGCACAGTTTGCCCAAAACCAGATACAAAATCAAAATCAACTGGATTTTAGAAGATTTGGTTTTGATTGTTTATTTGTTTACTAGACTTTTTTTTTTTAATCTGGCTGTTTTTCATTTTGGTTAGTTTCATTTTGAGGCCAAAGTGATGAAACACAACAAGAAAGGAAGTTCTTGTGGTTTTTCAAAGCCTTCCAGAAACAGAGTAATGGAAAACCAATAACAAGCAGGAAGGACTGGAAAGCATGTGAGATCTCTCCTGCACAATTTGTTGAGTTCACAGAATAGTTAAGGTTGGAAGGTGCCATGCAGAATATTTCTTGAGGCTGTGCAGCCTAGCGCAGGGATAGGAAGAGATGGTAAACTCAGAGAGTACCAAAATTGGATTACCTTTGGAAGTGTACTGCTCCATTTATTCCCCTTCCATTCCAGCCACCCCTTTATGAAGATCTTTTCAAAGATCTTTAGTCTTAGTCCTCCATCAGCCACAGGACTCACTTCATGTATGGCCAGCAATGGCTGGTATGAGTTCCTATGCTCTCTTCCCTGGGAAGGTCATGCACTTCCTGAACTTAACACTGGTCAGAGATTGCATTAGCAATGTGCAAGCTTGGGCCAAATTCCCAAACACTGTAGAACTTTTTTTTTTCTTCCTCTTCTCAGCAAAAAGTTGTGAGCTCTAGGGAAAGTGCATAGCCTAGCTCTAGCTGGTGTCTTATTTAAGTTGTTTCTCTTTACATAGTAACTGCTATTGCAAAAATATGCATGTGTCTATCATTCCATTTATCTAGTTACATTTCAAGTTTGTTTTACAGACTAGTCCAGACAGACTTCTGAACATAGTTAAAATTATTCTCATCCAACCATTGTGCACAAACATAAAGAAAAGTGAATTAACTCTGAACATTGAACAGGCGAGGTCCAATTGGGTACACTCAGTGCAGCATTCTGTCGTACTTGTCATCTGAAAAGATGAAAAATGTTCAGGAACTCACATTTGTCCCATGTGCAGACAGTTACAAAAGAAGCAGGACATCAGGGAAGGGCAGCATGTAGGAACTGAATTACACCCTCAGAAGGAAGTTTCATACTTTAGCCCATGCAATTTGTGGAAGTGTTTTAAGTAAAGAAAGAAAATAACTGCCCCCCCCCCCCCCCCAGCTGCAGCTGAAATCTTTGTTTCACTGAGCATGCAAATTCCTTCTGCCTTTGACACGGTGAGTAGCTGCCATTGCTCAGTTATGTGAATCCTTTGTGGTCTGTAATGCTTGTTCATGACCTCCTGTAAGCAGAGAAGTGGGAAAAGCTCCCACCTTCTTTCACAAGGGGACTGATTTGGCCAAGGTTCTAAATCTCGGACAGAGCTCAATCCATAAAGTAATGGCTAAAAGATTAACTGTCTTTTTCTGTAATTATTGATTATTGATGAACTAGATCTTCAGTTGACTGAAGTCAGCTTGCCTTCAAATCTTTGAGGGAATGTTTGCTACTTTGTCCCATCTTTGAGTTTAACGTATGTGTCAGAAAGACTAGCTTCTGGAATTGTGCAGAAAAGCATTTAATGACCACCCCATCCTTGCCAGTTCCCCAGCAAGCAGCAAAGAACACGTGGGATTGTGTCCATCATGGTGAGGACCTACACTGGATGAGTTCGGCTGGAATGGATGCAGGGGCCAGAGAGAGGGCATAGGGGGCTCAGGAGGTCCCCCTGGACATTAGGGAGTTCTCATCTTACCACCTACACAGAGCTATTACACACAGTGGTGACATGCTTGTGGGTCACACTGAAACCGCCTTTCAAGCTGGTGTACACAGAAAAGTTTCTTTTGTATACTGAACTAATGCGGATAAAACAACAGCACAGGATAAATCGCACTTCACTTTAAAATAAATCTGAGATGACAGTGTTAATTCATCTTCCACTGTAACCATCTTGTAAAGATTTCTTAAGGCTGTTCACTGAATTTAGTATGTTTCCAATATTTTCAGTCAAATCAAGACTGCATGTCACTGCAGAAACTATTAGTCAGAAAAAAAATAATAATAATTCCTTTTTTTTCTTCCTCTTTTTTTTCCCACTCTACATTCTAATTTACCAACCACTGTACAAATTGAACCCTCAGTCCCCCATGAGTGATTACAGAGTATTTCTCAAAGACGTGACAGTGAAATTACTGGCAATTTTTAATGAAAGCAACTGAATATGTTTCACCTTTTAACCAGCTGTTTGTTTCTTTTAGACTACTTGTTCAACTGAAATACTCAGCAAACACTATTAAAGGAAACACTTGGTTCCTAAAAGTTCAACACTCCTTCCTATCTGCTCTGGATGGAAAAACTCAAGAACATAATTTCTGAGACCACCCAAATTCAGAGGAGAAGAAAAGGCAGAGTGGAATTGTCAACTTTCTTGTGACTTTATATTGTAAGTTTTATTCATGAAACACAGAATCCAGACATCTGGGAAGTTCACTGTTCTCTCTCGGGAAAACAACAACCACAAGAAGTTGTACTATAGAGTAATGTGTTTTCAAGTTCCTAAGCAAATTTGAATCCTGTATTTCTTCCGATTTTGGGGATTTGATGATCTTCCAGAAGCGTAAGGATACATGTCTGTTTTTCTGCAAATAATCTCATAGAATCATAGAATCACCAAGGTTGGAAAAGACCACCAAGATCATCCAGTCCAACAGTCCACAATGTATTGGTTTTTTTTTAGCTACAAGTAGGCATTTGTTTCAGCTCTTTTTCATTCCAATTCAGTGTATTAGAAATGTTCTGCATGGGAAAACAACTAACAGCTAGTTAAAAGATGTATTTAATTATATTCAGTGAAGCACTCCCATTTTCTATCACCTGCTTCCAAATGATACTGGACATGTTACTTTAATGAAGAACATCCTGTCTTTATCAAGTCAAACTCCAGGCACATGTTTGGTGGAAAAGATAAATAGAAAGTAAAGAGGAAGGACTTTGTGCAAAGGAACCACAATTTATCAGTGTAAAACCTACAGTAAATTAAAGCAATATTCTCTGAGGCATTTTAGCTAACAGAGGAACTTCCACACCATTTTGCTGTGTTAAGATACACTCCTCATGATGACTGCATCCACATGTACCTGCACTTGTTCAAATGAACTGTTCTGGACAGCCATGTCCTCAGGCAAAGTTCATCATTTTCTCCCCAACCTTACAAGCATTTAGTGGCATATTTACAGAAGAGAAAGGAATGCAAAGTGCCAGCATGTGAGTACCTGTGAAACTCCAGGGGTTACATGGCTGTGCTTTCCAAAAAGGCGGATATTTTGCATTTTTATATTCACTGGTAAACACCTCAGCTGGGACAGAAAATTCAAAAGCCCAGGCACAAGAAAGGAACGAGGGGTGGTTTTTTACAACATAGACCCAAGTAGTCAAAAAGCAGCCAAGGTCAGAGCACCCCATTCCTTTTCAAGGAGAGGAGGTAGCAGGAACTGTGACCCTGCCCTTTTTGAGACTTTGTCCTTTCTGTAGCTTCATGGCTGACACAGAAAATGTAGATGAGAGAAATTTTTCCAGCCCCACAGATTTTAAGTGGGTGGAACATCAAGATACACACAGAAGGTGGATAGATAGTGTCAGCACAAGAGTTGTACGTACAACACCAATCTTAAATGGTATTATTTTGTAAGAAATCCACAGGAAACTCTTAGAGGTCTTGAACCACAAAGGTGCCTGGCCCTGCTGCTGAGTTGGCTGGTGCCTCCTCACTGCTGCAGAAATGAACCACTGGGCACCTGCACGGCCACTCCCAACAGACTTGCTTTGACAGCAGACTGAAATTGAACACAGCATGTGCCCACAGTTTTTACCCTGCACCTGCAGATTGCTCTGAGATGTGCTACAAAATGCACTCAGAAAACCAGTTGACTGATCTACGGATAAGCACCATAGAGTGCCATAAACTCCATGTGTTTTGAAAGACATCTGTGGCTGGATTGAGGTGGCCTCTACCCAGCCTCAGAGCTGAGAGCAGGAGGGAGACAACCCTTCCCTTCTGTCAACATGGGGACCCCTCCACCAGTATGGGCCAAAGGAGCACTTCCTTAGGCTTCAGGAACTCCGGTGAGATCAAGCATCACTTGGAACACTGAATTTTGCAATTCTCATAATCGTCTCACCTCATAATCGTAGCATTTGATAGCAGTGCTGTTCCCAGCCCATCAGTTCATATAACCTTTAATTGCCACATAACAAACATTTTTTTGCAGTACCAAATCAAGCAAAGAATTTATTTTCTGTCATTTGTGATGTCTGGCTTGGAAAAGTTTTTTATTTTTAATTTTTAATTCTGGCTAATAAAGAAAATAATCAGCCTCTGAAACTCAGTCAGGATGTTTTGTTTCGACAAAATCTTTTAGCTAATTGAAGTATTTCAGCTATATTTCAGAGTTTAAGTACCTCAAATATTTTGAATGTTTTAAATATTGTTAAAAGTGTATACTAGGAAATAAAAGTGTGCTGAACAAAAAGTACTGAAAAAATCAGTGACAATTCCATGTTTAACAAACGACTTTATTAAGCAGTTTACTGAATACTTTTGGTTTTCAGGAAATGTGTAGATATGGCACTGAGGGACATGGTTTAGTGGACATGGATGATGAGTTGATGACTGGACTTGGTGACCCCAGCGATCTTTTCCAACCTTAATGATTCTATGATTCTGTATTACCCAAAGAATTCCACTGCATTTCCATGGATTTGTGAACTGACCCAGTATTGTTACAGAAGCTTTCTCCATTTAAACAAAGTTGATTTCTTAGGTTTCATGAAGCTCTGCATTACCTCCTTCAGCCACGCTGAATGGAAACTCCACAGAGTGAAGCAGGAAAGTTTGAGATAATAATGGAAAAAATCATCTTGGATGTCTTTGTTTTGTCTCTCACTTCTTTGCTTTTGCTTCATGGGAAAAGAGTTTTGTGAGAGCTACTCTAAAATGTTCTGGTTCAGAGAAGTTCAGGGATCTATTTTGTTTCAGCTGCTGAATATTGCAATTCCTGTCTTATTATTCTAATCTGAAATTAATTGAGTAATTTGAAGTTACTCTCGTAACACTGAACTGGGAGCTGAAGTTATGCGACTCATAATAATATCAACCTTTTGTAAACCGGAAGCTGTCTTTCACAATCATAATGGAAATAGGGAGCTTCTTAAACAGTCAATCTTATTTCACAGATAACAGAGTAAATGTGAGGTAGAAAAAACACTGGATATAAAAACTGTAATTGAAAGAAGAACTAAGCCCCACATTTTCAAAAGCAAAACTAAACAAGCACATTAAAAATTGTATATTCCGCTAGGAGTATTACAATGAAAGCAGTCATCTTACTTTAAACACAGTAAGATTTTATAGAGTAAGCACAGGAACTGTAGTATTATAACTGTTTTCTTACTTTCTGCAACCTTTCTTTTTAGCAGATGCTCTTTGGAATCTCATTGTCTTGGCTATAAATGCAGAAAAAGATAAAGCAATTGGAGAAAAGTGATTAGATGTATAACAATGGTTAAAGAGTTGAAGAAGAATAAAATTCCAATTTGCAAAAGCTGAACAGGGAAAAAAAAGAAAGCAAGCATATTGCTGTGACCACATCATGTCAAGACTAGGAGAGCTATTCTGAGCTATGACATTACTTCAGTGAAGAAGAGACTTTATCCTTCATCTGTAGGGGGAAAAAAACCGAATTGAAGAAATCTCAAGTTACAGTGTACCTTGCTCAGTGCACCAGTGCGTGCTTTTGCAAAATATATGTAAAAATATTCCATCTGCTGGGCTGCATGCCGACACTTCTTGTCTTCTAGGAATCAGTCTCTCCACTCAGTAAGGACAACTGTGTGTTTTGCCCCTTACTCCATCAAGTAAATCAAAGGGAAATCACCACAGTAGGAGATAATTTTCATTTGAGTTAACTGGAGTGCTAGCCAAATGTAGAAAAATCATCACCTCTCAAAGGCTCAGATATACCATCTTTTCTAGCAATGTTTCCCCAGATCTAGCTTATTAACTCATAATAATGAAGTATTTTAAACAGCTTAATACCACCTGAACTCTTTTAGAAATTGTTTGATGTACTCTCATGCTGGTTTGGTTTGGTTCAATTTGGTTTACTTTGGGTTGTGGGAGTTTTTCTCTGCTGATTTTTATGATGAAAGGCATGTATCTGATCTTAGTTCCATGTTGTGGTACTGGAGATTTGACCACTGAGCAGTTCTCACGCAGAAGAGATAATTATTGAGCACACAGCCATGAAAAAATGAGCCAGGAAAGCATGGTTATTATGTGTATAAGATGAGAACACAATTTGAGAAGATTTGAGAATACGTATTTTTGAAAATTGGACATAGCAAGACCAACTGCTGCTTTCTCTCATGCGCCTCATGTTAGTACATCAGGCAAGTATACAGGAAGAATGAAGAATTGTTAAACTAATAAGCAACTATGACCTGAAACCAAACAAGATTTTATGTCATGCAAGTGAAATACTGGAACAATCCATCATTAGGAGCGGAGAGAAGAAAAATCCTATCTAAATCAAAGATAAGGTGTGATAAATACGTGGAGCTGACAGGAGCCAAAATCCACGTGGATCTTACAGTGTCTGCTCGCATGCTCCCAGCAAAGTTCAAAAGCTGCTGGAAATAAAAGAAGAATTACAAAGTGCATGCAGAAGCCACTTTGTTAAGCAGTGATTCCCTCTGTGTTTGGGCACTGCTTTTCCTCAGCATCCTTCCCAGCAGTGTATGCGGCTCTCACAGACCTGGGCTGGGATCAGATGCCACTTGGTGAGAAGCAAGGAGGAAAAATGTTGGAAAGGGTGGTCAGAAAGAAGGTTAAACCACACAAAAATGCTGGCTTCCCACAGGTGGCCTTTCAACACACTCTGTCAATAGCTACACAGATACAGGGAAGAGGGAAAAATAAGTTTTCCTCGGCTGTTAGTTGGAGATGAAACACATTTTACCAACAGCAGGGTGAGAGAGTCGCACCAAGCAGCTGATTCCTGGTAGACAGCATTATACAGAGGAATAGGTTAGAGCCCCTTCCTGCTGCTTTGGAGAGGGAGAAAGCTTTCGTGGCTTTATCTGAAAGGTGTGAGGCACAAAGATGTGGCAGGTGGAGCCAGGCTGGTACAGGCAAAAGTGACAGGGTGAAGGGAACAGCATGATGTGAAGCAAATGGGTGCTTCTGCTGCAAAGCTGCCGTAAGGGAAGAGAGAGTCTGGAGCCGTGGGAGGGTGTTCACGAAGGAAAGTAAGAAGGAACTGAGACTGTGAGGAAAAAGGGCAGGCCTTTGGAGTTGTAGTCTGGATTTAAATGCCATTGGAAAAAAACAGTAAATAGCTGAAATAAAGGGGAAACAATAGTAATGTGGGTAGGGAGAGTAATACTGCTCTGTCAATCGTATTTCATTTCAAGCCCTGGCTAAATGGGCATTTGCTTACACTAAATATCTGTAGGTGAGTGCAGTAGGCATTCCAATAATCCCCAACGCATTTTCTATGGGTAAAAATGCATAGCGAAGTCTCTTTAATATGGCCTGCATTTCAAATTGAGCAGAAGAATTTAATAGACTGCAGCCTTTTGTTGAAGGACAAAGGCAGGGGGCTGTGTAAAGCTGAGTAATACAAAATACTCAGGAGGCTGTATCTGGCTGGTACTTATGGCTCTGTTTTACAGACATGGACTTTGAAGAGAAATGCACAAAAAAAAAAAAAAAAAAGAGCAGGAGGGGTTTAAGGTGTTTTTGCCATGTAGTCTATTACTTCCTGCAATTCATGAGGACTCTTTAATGGTGCATAAAGGTCACCTTTCATTTATGGACTGTCTCTGGTTCACAGAAAAAAAAGTGTCCAGATACACTGGGAAAAAAACAAACAGGGAAGGACGTGTAAAAAGTAGGGGCCTTCCAAGACATAACTTCTTCTATAGATACTGTTAAGAAGAGTTGGTCATTGAAACTACGCAACAGAAATAACCTGATTACAGACTGAAAAAAAAAAATTAAAAAAAGACATTTGCTGTCTACAGTTACCACACAGAGACTTTAAAACGTCAGGCCAAGACTGTTTACTGATGTTACATATGGCCTAAAAAATGTGAGGAGAGATGTGAACTGTAGCAGAGAGAGAAGCAAAAGGAAAAATTGGTAGCCTCATTTAATGACTGTATGCATTCAGGAGCAAGGGTGCAGGATGTTTACCTGTGCCCCTCTGTGCAGAGCTATTTCCATCTTAAGCCGGCCCTTTCAAGCAGAAGGGAGAAGTCCTTTTGCTTCAGCATTCAAAGGACACAGTGATCGGCCTGTAGCAACCCTGCCAGACACCTGTGGGCCCACCACAGCCCTCCTGTTCTCTGCTCCTGCAGCACTGCACCAAGGATGGAGCTCAGCCAGCTGCCTTTTTGGCCTTGAGATCCCCAATACCCAAACAGGTCCCACCTCACTGCCGGGCAGAAAGGCAGTGGTGTCTCATAGCCAAATATCAGCTGCAAAGGAACAAGGGAAAGCGGTGTGAGATTGAATCAAAACCCACAGATCTCGTGCTCAGCATGGGCAGTTCGGTGCATCTAACTGCAGAGCATACCCAAAGGTTTCCAGAGAATCATAGAATCTTTTGAGTTGGAAGGGAACTTTAAAGGTCATCTAGTCCTGCATCAGCCTGTGTTGGGATTCCCATCAAGACCAGCAGCACTCAGCTGCAAGAACCAGCAACAAGCAGCAACATCTTAATTATGATTGAAAATGAGGGATGACATTTTCACTTTGGAGGTTCTTCTTTAGGAAATATGTCTGCACCTTGGCACAGCAAGGGAAAAATGTGAATGTTAGCCATGATTACAGCGCTTCATAAGCCTTACCACAGCCTAGGGTGAAGAATTTATTTGCAAGAACACATTAGAAACCCTGATCAAAATATGGCCAAAAATCAACTAAAACTAAACCTACCTCATCTAAATCAAGGAAATCCTCAAAATCAAGATTAATAGCAAGCTTATACATTTTAGAAAGCGCTGTAATTGTGAGATTTCTTCAGTTGCAGCATAGGGAGGGGGCTGCTGGGTGCTACGTGGGGAAGTGCTCAGCACCTCCTGCAGCAGAAAGCGCCCGAGAGCCTGTGGCTGAGCAGGGTCTGCTGCAGGAGGGGATCGGGTTTGGCAGCAGCGGGGGGCAGGAGGGAGCCGGAACTGCCTTCCGCTCCTGCCCTTCTGCCAGACATACGAATCCCAGACACAAAAGGGCAAAGGCATTTTTTCCCTTTGAACAGCCTCGTGGGATGCTGGGAAGCTGCCCTGGGGACTGCCAAAGCTTTGCTGCTGCCCCTGCGAGCTGCTGGCACCAGGTTCAACTCATCAGCCTGTCAGTGGTAACTGAAGTAGCGCTGGAAACATTCTGGATCTGCTTCCTCTTCTCCTGTTATTTTTGTAGCACAGCTGATGCCATTTGTCACCTGCAGGTAAAAGAACTGAGGTCCTGCTGTCAGTGGGATGTATTTTTGATGTAATAATGCCTTACAGACCATGTTACCTATATCTTCACTGCATTTCTTCTTCCCCTCGCTTTTCCTTAAGGCTTTCTCTTGAAAAATGTTTTGGTTCCACATTAAAAAAAAAAAATCACAAGTGGAATTTTGACTGAAGCCAAACAAACCCCTGACACTCTGCGGACGCTGATCAGGCAGTTCCAAAGGTGAGCACCCATCACTGCTCTGCAAAGTGCATGTCTGGGACTTCCAGCCTCCTGCTGGCCCTGTGTGCAACACAGCTTTTGCCTGGAAAGGAGCTGCAACCTGCAGTGGAAAGCAAAATATATCACTGATCAAAGTCTTGCAAAAAAATCAGGCCCTGATGTTGTAGGAGGAGAATAAAACCAGGCAGTGCTAGTATGCAGATTTATTTTTCTTTAATTAAGCATTGAGCTAATGAAAATATGAATGTTTCTCTATTCACTATACCATTTAATAATCATTCTGCATTGCTTTCCTCATTTAATTCAAATGAGTTTTATGCAGTTGCTGTTGTGATGTGAATTTCTTATTGCTTATATTGTATATGTGATTGTTTCCAGGATGCCTATCTCCATGAGACAAATTTCTTCTGAAGGGGAGGTTTGGGCTGGCAAGGATTTGACCATCTTCATCTGACCAGCTCTTAGAGCTGGCTGATGTTATCAGGAGAGGGAATTACATGAGGCCAGGGAGCAGGATTTGGTTTTAGGGTCAGGAATCTCCTTCAGTTTTATTATGAGGTTTACTTCAGTGCCAGTTACAGAATCACATTGCCATTCTGAGGAGGCAAATGGTAAAGGTGAAATTCTTCCCAGCTCTGTAACTGTGCTGCCAGCTTGCTGCAGAGCATTTGGGAGGACCATGCTGTAAGTCAATGGAAATGTCATGCCCATGGGAATCAATACAGTAACTCAGGAGTTATTTAATAATGAGACCTAGAGTTAGATTCACTGCAGTAGGATGGCGGGGTCAGAGCAGTGTGTGTTAACTCATCATACACTGTTCAGAAATCAAAATCTATTAAAAAAAAAAAAAGAGAGAGAGAGAGAGAAAGTAAAAAGAGGGCCTGCCAGAACTGAATCTTCCAAACACTTGAGAAGGAAAAAAAAAGACAGGAATTTCCTGTCATGTGATAGCCTCTTCAATAGATAAGCATCTGTACACACCGAGAATGAAAAAGACAGACTTATATTTACTTTAGTACAGTTTTTTAGAAGGTGGCAACACTAACAGCTCTCCACTGCGATTCTCATCCATTAATCTGCTGTAACAGTCTAATGAGGAAAGAAGTCACATATCCTCTGCACATGACTACACCATTTTCACAGATTGACTGCACCATTTTCACAGGACTTTTGAAGCTCAGTAAGACCAGCGAGGCCAGCAGAAATAAAGAGAAGAATGAGTCTCCTTAACTCTAACTCAGCACATTCTTTGCAATTGTCCTTGTATGCTTTTATGCTTATTGACTCAGATCAGATTAGGTCACTAATTCTGATTTTAGACTCCTAATTTGTCCATATTTCTTGAAAATTATAAGTCTAAATAGTCTACTTATTTTGACTTCTGGTGTACAAAGCTGATTGAAAAAAAGTAATAGAAAGTTAGCTTTGGATGAAAGTATTAATGTTTTTCTTCTTTTTTTCTCCTCAAAAACTAGTTGCTTTGGGTGGAAAGTTTAGTTTCTCCACTGGGATTTTGCTACTCAGAATCAAAATATTCCATGCCACACCAAACCAAAGAAGAGCTGAGCCCTGCAGCCCTCTGAATCTGCACCACCTGTAAGGGAAGCCTGGAGGAGATCCCAAGCAGCAGGCTGTCCCCCTACTGCATTTCCTATCCTCACACGTGGCTGATTCCCATATGGTCAGAGGGGTTGCATAGAGGAAACTGAGAACTAAAGTAAGTTTCCTGCCTAATGTAGCTTTGCATTAGGGATGCACCTTGTGAAAACAAGTTCCACAGCTAGGCTCGGCACAATGTAAAGGACAGTGTCCTGTTAAATGTTTTAAAATCATATCACCTTCCCAGCAGGAAACTGTCTATAATAACACTCCCTGTGCCAGAATTAACTGCTGCAAACATTTTCAG